GGAACCCCAGCAGAGATTCCCCTGCAGCCCCTGGCAAAGACCACAATGACGATGAAGCAGGTCCTCCACAGGCTGCCGGGGGAGGACCTCACCAGAGCAGGCGGCTACACCCTGATGAAGCTGCAAGCCCACGGAGAGCCCATGCAGGAGCATGGTTTCTGGCAGTAACTGCACGCAGCCTGTGGGGAACCCACGCTGGAGCAGACTGTGTCTGAAGGATGGTGCCCCATGGAGAGGCGATCCACACTGGAGCAGTTCTTGAAGGACTGCAGCCCATGGGAAGGCCCCGGGCTGGAGCAGGGGAACAGTGTGGGGAAGCAGGAGCGCCAGAGAGGAGCTGCTATGGGCTGACCGCAACCCCCATTCCCCATCTTCCTGCCCCACTCAGAGGGAGGAGGTAGAGGAGTCTGGGATGAAAGAGTGAAGCTGAGCCTGGGAAGAAGTGGGGTGGGGGGAAGGTAGTTTTATGGTTTTCTCTTTGTTTCTCACCATACTACTCTATTTTTAATCAGCAATAAATTAAATTAATTTCCCCCAGTCAAGTCTGTTTTGCCTGTGACGGTAACTGGTAAGTGATCTCCTTGTCCTTAGCATGACCCATGAGCTTTTCCATCTTATTTTTTCCCCTGTCCTGTTGAGGAGGGGGAGAAAGAGAGCGGCTGGGTGGGGGTCTGGCAACCAGCCAAGGTCAACCCATCACACAGTGAGATAAATAAAACAACCCATCCAAAACTGTCCCCCCCTTTCTGTGTCCTTTCAAAGGATGCAGAAACAGAAACAGGGACTCAGTGAGGCCAGTACCCTCCCTCTGACCCTCCCCAGGCTGCACTTCAGCGCAGTTTCCTGACTGGGAGCCAAATGATACTTGTCCTCAGAAAGAAACTCCTAACCGCTTCAATTTTTATTCTTCATTTGGCTTGTCATCAGCTTCTTAAGTCAAAGCTACTCTTCCCACAATCACAGAAATTGAAATGAGAGCGTTTTACCTACTGTTATCAGCAGATTATAGTGAAATCAAACAGTAGATATAAATACTATTAATATGCTGGCATTAATATACATATGTATATGCACACACACACTCTTCACTGTAAGATAGGCAATCCAGCATAAATTCTACACTTTAGTCTCTGTATTATATAGACTATCTGCTCATTTTCACCCAGACTGACACTGCAATCCGTAATTACTAACCACATGAGGACAATTTAACAGTTAGTAAATATTGGTTAATGTTTAAACCGAGAATGGATGGGCAACTTCACCAGACAGGTCAACGTGACTGAAACCAAGAAAGGTTATGTGAAGTATAAAAGCCTCAACCCTGAAGTAATTTCCTTTGGTTGTTTTTTACAATCAAGTCTAATGACCCATTGTAAAACTATGTTTTGTGAAAGCATTAGACAGACACAATATGGACTAAACTCAATTCAACCTGTGTCCCTCATCTCCCTAAGGCCTAAGCTAAAAGCAGACTATGCACAAATACTTTGGTTCCACACCTCCCACCCCCAGAAAGCTTTAATAACATGGGATTTGAGACCTAGTACGTCTAGAAAGGAGCGGGGAGAGACCCAAGTCTCTGAAGACCTAAATTCAAAACTAAGGAATAAAGAATTTCTACATTAAGCAGTTAAAATTTCTCCTTTACATTACAGAATAAATGTATTATTTTACCTAATGTAACCTGTTTGTATCCAAGCTTGTACACACACACACTCTATGTTTTTTTTAAAGACAGCATTTAATGTGGTTCATAAAACGCTGACTTAAGCAATTACCATAAAGACGTTCTGTGGTTCCCATCAAAGACAAATCTTCATCTTATTGGGACATACTATGTAGCCCAAACAGCTTTTAAATTGTGTACAGAAATTTTACTTAATGATGGAACATACATCAATTATAACCCTGTTCTCTCCTAGCTCACGGACACTGCAGCTCCTTAGCAATACCTTCCTAACAGACTGTATCATCATAACATGTTACCGGGAAACTAAGCACATGAGTGGAAAAGGGTGCCCCAATAATGTAAAAATTACTATAATATAGTCTTATAATTTGGGTAACGTGCAGATGAAGCCAGGTTTACTAAACTGTTAAATCAGAGCCTTGCATGACAAAACTGTTCTGCATATCAGGAAGACTGATACGCTTTGGCTACGTGATTGTGGCTGTCATTTTGAGAAACCTAATTCTGAGGCTGAGATTGAATTAATTTGTCTAGCTTCTGTAGGAAGTATGCAGGTTTCAGATTAGAAGTTAAAATATCATAGTAAAAGTACCTGAAGATGCCTCTACTTAAAATACATCTTGAGACATAGTATAAATATTAATCAGACATGACCTGTATAGAAATACTGCACAGTTATTACAGATCGCTTCTGGAAATGACAGTTTATCTGATAATTTACCTGATAATCAGGAAATCTTAAAGTTCCATATGACTCGTGATGAAAGTCAGGGTGATATAAAAAATGAGACATCACTGGGCGTCTTAAAAATTCACTTTTGGCTGTTAGTGTGATAATAAACATGAGCATCCTTCTTTTCCATTTTCTGATGAAGAAGGATAAAATGTAAAGCCACATAAAAACTGTTTATGACAATTACCTCAACGGAGAGTTGGGAACCGGCAACTACGCTGTTTTCAGACAAATGAGGTAAAGATCTAATTCTTGAAACCAGCAGAATGACATTGTTCGAAAGGGGTTTTCCTGACAATGCCCTCAGGACTGAGAAATAAAGCTAGAAGAAACTCCTTCATATGTCATACAGAATTCTAAATAATTCCAAGAAAGCCATTTTCTTCAGGAGTACAGTAAGCTTTCAAACAAATCCAACAGGGGAGCCATTTTCTTGGAAAACTAGAAAGACGACTATTAAGAAAAAAAAGGGGGGGGAGGAGGCAAATTCTTTTTACAGTTTCCCCTTTTGCATTTTCACTGAAAGTTTATGGTTGGCAGAAACCTCTGTAGGTCATCTTGTCCAAGCCCCCTGCTCAAGCAGGGTCACCTAGAGCAGGTTACTCAGGACCACCCCCAGATGGCTTCTGAGTATCATCCTTACAGTGAAAAAGTGTTTCCAGATGCTCAGGGAGAACATCCCCTGTTTCAGTTGCCTCTGATCCTGTCCCCTGGCACCACTGAAGAGAGCCTGGCTCCGTCCCTCTTTGCACCCTCCCTTCAGGTATTTATACACACCGATAAGATCCCCCCGCCTTCAGCCTTCTCTTCTCCAGGCTGAACAGCCCCAGCTTTCTCAGCCTCTTCTGTGAGGAGAGATGCTCCAGTCTCAGTCTCTTAACCATCTTCATGCCCCTTCATTGGACTCTCTCTAGTACATCCGTGTCCTTCTTGCACTGGGGAGCCATTTTTGTTCATTTTTTTCAATGAAACTTCAGAAATCCTGTGTCCATTACTTACTGAGAAATCTCTGAAGGGAACTGGCACTATGTATGGAATTCAGCAGCCCACTCCTTTTTATTTAAAACACTTACAGTAAGCTAGAAAGGAGACAAAATCTTTCCCAAAATTCACACTTTGTAGTTTAAATGTTCTTTAACATGCCTACGAACATTATTTTCCAGAATTGTAACAATATGTAAAATGCAATCTTAATTCAATGAAAAGCATGATTTTAACAACTCCTACTAGATAGCTTGTCGTCTTTCTAGTCATGTAATATTCAGTCACAATAACCTGAGTAAGTATGTTATTGAAAAAGCAGCAATGCCTGGAGTCAGTATAAATATTACAAAACCCATTTTTGTTCAGGGAGAACATGCTGACCCAGGTTATCATCTTGAGATGATTCATTCCCTTAAAAATAAGTAAAATTCAGGAAAATCAGATCAGGATCTGAAATACTGTGCTGTGTAAAAATCATGAAGCATCCTCATCTCCAACACACTGTCATAAACATCACAATGCTTCTGGAAAACCAGTTTGGCTTAGTTAATAACAAATATGAAAACGTTGAAAATGTTGAATACGTTTCTTCTTTGGGTAGTACAGTAGGTTGTACCCCCAAAAAATAGATACCATAAGGTAAGGATAAACTGGGGAAAATTTTGCTTGGGAGTACGTAAGAGTACAGGTTTCATTTTTTAAAGCATTCAAAGCAATATGAAGTCTTAAGGCCTTCAAACCACAAACCCTAGAAGCCTTACACCACACTACACAATTCCTTGATAAAAGCTTTTTTTTTTTTTACTTTTAAATTTTGCACTGGTTCTACACTTTCATGCTGTACTTCAAAAACATCATACTCCAGCATTAAAGATACAGTCTTGTGGAGCAGACACTTGTTTATGCTGAAAGTACAGCCAATTAAACCAAACCTCGTAATTTAAAGCTTCATGGAACAGTAATTTTTATGGACTGATGAGTAATGGAGACAAACTTAGGTAACCCAGAAAGACCCAGACAAATATATTTATTTAATAGCAAATGTTTACTAGTGAGGCTGCAGAAGCAATATTGTCTTCTTCCCCCTTCCCCGCAAAGTACTGCATGTACACACACACACGAACACAGCCAGAGAGAACAAGGAACACAGTTACAAAAGAACATTAAAGCAGCTGATAATTTATCTGTCCTGCTGAGGAAAGCTCAAGGAAGTGAGCCAAAATATCTGAAAAGAAGAAAACATGAGGGGACTAGACATAAGAAAGTAGAGATATAGGACTGAAATAAGATAGCACAGAAACTTTAAACAGTACTTTACACCCACCTACATTGATGCAACTTAAATGATTTCTTGAAGTCTCCCCAGCATCATTTACCTATGAATCCAACAGGCCATAGAGCTCTTGCCAGAAAAGGTCTCTGAAATTACCACTTACACAAAGCATACACAGCAAAGTATCACGCTGCCCAGACATTTAACTAGAGGAGAAAGCAAGCGTTAGATTGATAAAGAACATAACAGCAGCAGTTTGGCTAGCTAACACCTACATCTTGCAGGCTAGCTGCTATCATTTCAAGCATGATGCTTACCTTTAATAGTTTCCTCCACAACTTCTACTACACGATCTA